AAGGCTTTCTCCATGGACTTCTACATCACGAAGTACCAGGGCAAGATGATGGAGTCCATGACGCCGCTCTTCCAGTCTATGCTCACCGGCATGCAGCGTCTGGAGCAGCAGGAGAGGGACGAGAACGAGGAGGAAGCCCGGAAGGTGCTCAGTGAGGGCGGCGCTGATGGCGAGGACCAGACGCTGGCCAAACGGGGCCGGACGCGCGAGGATCTCGCTCGCCGCGCTCGGCGGGTCTGTATCCGCCTGGCGTCGATGGCGAACCGGTGCTTCTGGCTCTCCACGACGGAGGTGGCCGTGCATATCCTCACAGGCGGCGACTGCCTCCAGTCGCACCACAATGTGCGGCTCTTCACGAGACAACTACAGTGGGCCTGCCAGCAGTGCAAACGCTTGCTAAACCATGAAGGTTCGGGCGAGGAGACGCATAATGATCAGGTGCCAATACAAGCAGTCCGCATCCAGATCCCTGACGCCGACAACGAGGAGGAGGACGCAGCAGGTGACACCAGCGGTGCTCCTCAGCCTCCTGGAGACACTCCTGCTGGTGATGAGCAAGGTGGCGGTGCGGAGTGCGAGGACATGCACGTGTGCACCACCAGCACGAACACGGCCGACGACTACGCCCACAGAGGCCCTCGCCTGCAGACCATGCCGTACTACGTCTACAGGATGTACGTCCGGCGAGTCCTGAAGCCGAGCCGGGTCAAAGCTTCTGGACCGCGATTCTTCGCCTTCGAGAGCCACTACGTCTTGGCTCCGCGGTACATGCAGGAGGTCCGGTTGACGCGGAGTTCGTCCCCACCATCGATGGCTTCCAGTGCCCGACATGGGCACAGGACCCCGAGCAGAACTCGCTCTTCAAGGCCCTCCTCTTCACGCCTTGGGCGTGCGAGTGTCCCCTCTCTTGTGGCTGCGTTACTCAGTACAGCCATATGCTGAGGAACTGCGACTGCCCCGCCGTGCGCCCATACTCGTTCGAGCGGGCGTGGCGGCTTCGGTGCGCGGAGATCCACGTGTTGGCAGCGCGCGCAGACTCCAGGAGCCGCCTGGCCCGCAAGAGGCTCGTGCTCGCGGACACGACCCTCTTCTCCGAGCTGAAAGAGCCCCGGGCGAACCTCGAGGAGGGCGAGCTGGTGCTCCTCAGCCTAGCGCACTTCGCAAGGTCCCAGCTGGCGCGGCGCATGCCAGCGGAGGCGGCACGGCGCATCCTTGCCTTCAGTGACCACCACTGCCGGTGGCACGAGGAACAGTGCACCCTGGCGGAGTTCTGCGCGACCGTGGCGCGAGACGTGCTGGCGCACGTGGACCTCGCGGCGGAGGCGCGGGTTAAGCCTCGGCCAGCAACGACTGCACACCTCGAGGCGGATGAAGACTCCGCGAGCGATGCCGAAGGGCTCAAGGGGCGAGTCCCGCTGGAGCTCGTTGACGTGGGTGGAGGCGGCGGCAGCGACGTAGAGGAGGACGTGGAGGACGCCGAGATTACCGAGATCTCCCGGTTTCCGCTGCGGGACCACGTCAGAGCAACCGAGCTGGCCCTACAGCAAGACCAACTGCAGCGCTTGGACCAGAAGGGCCGCCTCAGCTACGCCGATAAGCAGTTGAAGAACCTCGACCGAGCGTACAGCGGCATGCTGCAGCCAAGCTTTGCACTGCCAGCCAGCAGCGGCGCGCGGGAACATCAGGGCACGCGGCTGGACGAGACCTTTTCTGACATGCTCGCCCTACAGCGGCAAAGCATTGCGCTCCAAAAGAAGCAAGCGAGCCCGGATGGAGAGATCTTGCCCGATGCTGCGGACGACTGGCTCCCCAGCGGTGCTCCTCAGCCTGCTGCCGAGGACGCCCAACCAGAACTCGTTCCGCAGCTCTTGGCCATGCAGGGCCCGGCGGCTGTTGCGTGGAAGCTCGTCACTGATGCCCACTGCACGGAGGAGCAGATTGACGCGGTGGCGTTGTTTGCGTTGTCTCTGCAGAAACGTTTTGACGGCAGACCAGACAAGACAACGCATCTCCTCCCCGTGGCGTCCGCGACAGGCAACCACAGAGCGATCTGGCTCGGTGGAGGCGGTGTCGGCAAGACGCGCACCCTCTCCAAAGTGGTGGAGCCGATGGCCATCACTTACTTCGGCGAGCAGGGGTACCTCGGCAAAGCGCAGTCCAACCACGCCGCACACAACCTCGGCCCGCGCGGCAGGACCATGCATTCCTCCAATGGCCTGCTCATGTCGGATTCCATGCAGACAGCCAGGCTGCGCTTGACGCCACAGACGCAGAAAAAGCTGGATCGCCTCACAGGCACACTCGGCGTCGACGTGATCGATGAGCTGGGTGCTGTGCCGGGGCCTTTGCTGCATGCAGATGCACTGCGCACGACCTACGGCAGGGCGTTGCGCTACAACCTGGACCCCACGAAGTACATGCGCCCGCAGGAGACGTGGGGACGCATGCCTGTGAAGATCTTGTGCGGAGACTTCTACCAGTTGCCGCCAGTCCCCGCCACCGCTTCCCTGCTGGCGCCTCACGCGGGCCAATCCTACGAACACCAACAGGGTAGGAAGTTGCTCGCCGACATCGAGTACGTCATCGATTTCGTGCAGATGCAGCGCTTTACAGACCCGTTGCAACTCGAGGTTCTCCACGCCATGAGAACTCCAGGCGGAAAAAAGATCTCTGACGAGAGCTGGCAGGCGATCGTCAAAACAGAGGTCGTTAGCTCTAGCGGTGCTGCTCAGCCTGCTGCCAGCAGCAGCGAAGCCGCTCAGCCACCTCAGTGGGGCCCTCGGTTGCGTGCAGCACGAGGCTGGTACGAGTCGGCCTATGAGTGGCGCATCGTCTCTTACGCCATGCATGCACAGGCCAAGCTTGATGCGCACGATGCTGGCCAGCTGCTCTTTTACGTCCCAGCAATCGACAGACCAGCTGCGCGCCTCGCGAAGCCTGAAGCCTGATTTCGACGAGATGCGCGCGGAGCCCAACATCGGCGCTACCGCAAAAATGCCGGGGCTGCTGCCGCTCTTCGTTGGCATGGAGGTCATCCTGACAGAATCCGTCTTGCCGCCGAAGTATGTCCGTGGCGCGCCAGGCAAAGTGGTAGGCATAGAGCTGCACGCTCTGGAGCCTCCGGTGGAGGGCCGCCCGTCCATTGTCTCGGACGGCGTGGTCGTACTCTACTACATGCCAAAGGCCGTCTATGTCAAGATCGATGACAGCGATGAACTTTTCTTGAAGGCCGCGCCGGTGACAGCTGGCAGTGCTTCTCAGCCTGCCGGCCCCGACCTGCGCGGAGTGCTCGCGATCACCCCGCAGGCGCGCCCCTGGAAGTTCAAAGCGAAGACAGGTGGCCCGGCCATCGCGGTGTCCAGGACGCAGTTGACCGTGCTGCCCAAAAAGCAGGGGACTCTGCATGGCGTCCAGGGCAAGACGACGGACCCAGGCTTCATCGTGCACTGGACGTTTCCGCCAGGACTCAAGAAGGAGTCCATTTGGCTTGCCTACTACGTCAGCCTGTCGCGCCCCAGAAGCTTCAACCAACTCTTGAGCCACGGCTTGCCTGACCGGAGCATCATCGAATCCGGCCCCCCGGAACAGATCGCCAAGGCCTTCGCCGAGCTCTTCACGGACAAGATTGCCGCGACGAAGATCGCTTGCGCGAAGGCCCGACAGCAACTGGGATGGCCTGCGCGAGCTTGAGGAGCCATGAGATGCAGGTTGCGTTGTGGCGGTGCTGTTCAGTCTGTCCGTCTGCATTCGCGTGGTGCTTCTCAGCCTGCATGCGCGTGGTGCTTCTCAGCCTGCGCTCGTGTGCAGCTGTGCGCGGTGAGCCTGCACGTGTCGCGGAATGCTTTTCAGCCTGCGCGTGTCTGCAATGCTTTTCAGCCTGCACGCTTTGCAGCTTCTCCGCTTCGCACGCCGCTCCTCAGCGCGGTCCTCTGAAAAAAAGGACAGTCATCATCTCATCGTCGCACTCATCATCGCACTCATCATCATCATTCATTGCCAGCGTTGATAGCAGTGTCTCCTTTTTACACGACTGCCACCATTCATAGCAGTGTCTCGTTTTGACACATTTCCAGCGTTGATAGCAGTGTCTCCTTTTTACAGGACTCCGAACTACAACTACTATCTCACTGTTACCACTGTTTCATCTTTCCTGCTCTTATTGCTAATACTACTGCGAGTGTTACTGCTGCTGCATGCCTCCAGCTATGCTACTACATATCGATGTTAGGTTGCTTTGCCGGGGTAATTTTTTTGTGTATGGATGCGATCAGCGGCAACAAGTTGCCCAGGGCGTCAGCAGCTGTGTACAACGCATCTGCAAAACAATGCTAGCAAGCGTTGGCCCCAAGCAGTATGTCATTGCACTGTGGATGTGTAGGGTATGTGGTGCAAACTGGTCGTGGGGGCCTTTGGGGTCGTCTGGCGGCCATCCTTCGGGCTGGACGAAAGGGCAGGATAGGGAAGGGGGGGGTACGAAATTTGCTGCAATGCAGCTGGCTTCGGCCCCGCAGCTGGGCCCATTCCTGGATACATGGGCGTCCCCCGGCGCAAGGAGGCTCCAGGAGAACTAGCTACGTGAGCTGATTGTATATCATACTCTTCGCTATGATACCCTTTCGACCCCCCCCCCCGCCCGCATATTGGGCGTTTTTGTGCGGCGTTTGGGCGACTCGGGGCCCTCTTGAATCGTCTTGGGGGCCTCTTGGGGCCCTGTGGCCCGTCTTGAGGCACTCTGGGAGTCCTTTTGGCTTCCCTGGAGATCGCCGGGCGCGCGCCGACGCACTCCATCTACGCCTCCCAGATGGGGTCGGAGGATCGCCCCGCATCCGATGCATTGCCGATTCGGTTCGATGTGGAACCAGGTTTTCTGAACGGCGACGTCGCCGATGTATCGCCCACGCCGACGATGCATCGCCGGTGCATCGCCGATACATCAGCGATGCATTGACGATGCGGCGCGATCCTTTGACCTCATCTACTCTGACCCCCTCTAGGAGGCGTCCATATGAGCGCCCGTTAAGCATCATCGCCGTTAGCCCGGCATTGGCATGAGACTGAGGGCACTCGACGACGGTGGCAGATTTCGTGTTGCTTTCATATTGTCATTATTGCCTGCCGAACCATCCCACTGGAGTCACGCCACATCTGTAGACCAAAGGGGCGGACCCCGACTGGCCCTCAAAGGATGATCTATGACTTCCGCTGCAGCTACGGGGAGGTCCCCTTCGACGTGGCGGACGTGCTTGCGGTGGCTGCCGTGCGACGGCAGCCGCATGGGTTCCTACCCCGCCGCGGCCGCAAGCGCCCGCGTGCACGGCTTCTGGGCCGCGACCTCGCCGGTGAGGATCGGCAATGTGCTGACAGCAGCCGCCGCGCGCTTCAGCGTGGCGCTGGCGCCCGGGACCACCGTGGTGCCCAACCTCGTCGCTGCTGGCCGCCCCGCCATCGTGCTGACCGTGGCTGCGCCCGCGCCGGTCTCCTGGCGCCCGCCGCAGGTCCTGCGATCGCGGGGGCTGGCGCGGACAGTGGCATCGCCAGTGGGGTCGCTGGCCTGGCCGCAGCAGCCTCCCGCGGCTTGGGCGGCCGCCTCAGCGGCGCCCGCCCCCCGAGCCATAATCGGGGCCCCGCCCATGGCCGCGCCCGCCGCAGGTGTTGTTGCTGCAGTGGTGCACGCCTGCATCTGCCCCGTGACCTACGACCTGCTCGGCCAACGGCGCGTCGACTACCGCGCGGCAGCGTCGGCGATGACGGTCGGTCAGTTCTCTGGGCTGGCTAGCGCGGAGCCCGCAGACGGCCCACTGGGTCCTGAAGTTCATGGCGGTGCACGGCTAAGCCCCGACAGGCCGCCACTCACGGTGGCTCTCAAAGGCTTGGCTGCTTGGCAACAAGCCAGGCGTCGACGACCGTGAGAGGGCGTACGTGACCCTGGACAGCACGATGGTGTATGACTAGCTAAGCGTGGCGATCCTCGCTTGTGGCGAGATGCTGGCGAGAAGCTCCAGGTGGAGCGCTACCGTGATCGCGTGGCGCCAGCAGGGGAGTCGTCCAACACGGATGCCACCGCCACGCTCGGCGCGGACCAGCTGCGGGGCAACGCTGTCGCCCCCCTGCCTTGCAGCACTACTACTACAAGGACGAGGCGGCGATGACCACCGCTCGTCGGAAAGAGCAGCACAGACCAGGAAAGGCAATGGCCCCATAGGCGCGAAGGACTCTAGTCAGGATGGTAAGTGACCTCGTTGGGCGGCCGTTCCGACCAGCCTGCCCGCCGGCTGCAGGCGCCGCCTCGGTTCCTCGGCCACCCCCCCCTCCTCGCGGAGGGCCTGCCCGGGCCCGGCAGGATGACGTGATCCCGTTGCCCTACTTGGCCGCGCCGCAGGAGGGCCAGTTCCACGGCCGGAGTCGGCGCGCCCGTCGGCACCGAGGCGCTGATGTGAATTTGAGATCTTGCGTCGATGACGCCATCGACGTCACGGGCGTTGCGTGCGCGCCAGGTTCCCACCCTTCGGCCGTCGGGGTCTCTGATGGTCAGCTGGCGTCCCTCGCGTGCGCCCAGGGCCCACTCTTCGCAGTTCAGGCCGTCCACGACGGCCCTGCTCGCGGGGCCTGATCTCGTGGCCGGTCGTCGGCGAGGACCACGCGCTTCTCATGGATGTCGTTGCTGACCCGGGCGCTCAGTGGCGCAGGGCTTGGAGCTCGGGCGCGCTGCGTGATCGGAGCGACGCGGGTGCCCTTCTGCATCAGGCCTGCCCTCGCGGGCCGCACGTCGACCTGCGCCTTTGTTTTCCCCCGGCCGTTTGTCCACGCCTGCCCCCTTGCTCAGATGCCCGAGCGCAAGAAGGTCTGCTTCCAGGCGGGAGGCCCCAGCATCGAGCCTTTTGGGTTCTTCTGCGCGGACAAAGAAGAACGGCCTGCTCATATGGATTTCTGACACGCGGGCTGCTAACGCACACTTTTTCGACCCGCCTGCCGCCGCCCTGCCCAGCGCGACCGCCTTCGCCGGCGTGGGGGCCTTGGGCGAGCGGGTCGCGGTCGCTGCGGGGGGCGTCGACGACGCTTCTTACGGGGCGGGTTAGTCAAGGGATGAAAAACCATCCGGACCGGACAATTGGCGTTTACTGAACGGCCCTGGGCGTTTATACCAACCAGCCTTGCCCTGTTCGATTCCGTCTTTGGGTGCGTTTGCTAAATGGCTTCGCGTGTCGGGGTGGTTATTGTCGGAGTGGATATTCTGCCTTCTAAAGATGGCTCCAAGACGGCCCAAGATGGCCCCAACAGAGGTCCCCAAGGCGGCCCAAGAGGCCCCCCCAGACGGCCCACAGGAAAGCTCCAGGAGTACCCCGGACAACGGCCTCCAGCGCAAAACACGAATTCACGAAACAGGTTTTGTGCATGGGGTTTTATATCTAAGTCGGGCGTGTCCCCGTACAGGAGGAATCTTCTAAACAAATAATAAAAATTATCCCGGCAAAGCAACCTAACAGCGATGTGTAGAAGCATATCTGAAAGCATTCCCCTTAAGATTCAGATGAAAATCCAGTTGTCGAATTCTGCTGTTCTCGCAGTCGTAGTCGCATTCGCGATGACAGTCGCAGCGGCAACGGCAGTCGCAGTCACAGCCTCAGCCTCAGCCTGCCTCCTCCTCCTCCTCCTCTTTCTCCTGCTCCTCCTCCTCCTCCTCCTCCTCCTCTTCCTCCTGCTCGTCCTCGTTCTCGTCCTCCTCGTCTTGCTCGTCCTCCTCCTCCTGGTGCTCTCTCCTCCTCCTCCTCCTCCTCCTCCTCCTCCTCCTCTTCCTGGTGGTCCTCGTTCTCCTCCTCCTGGTGCTCTCCCCCCCCCTCCTCCTCCTCGTCCTCCTCCTCCTCCTCCTCCTCGTCCTCCTCCTCCTCTTCCTCCTCCTCCTCCTCCTCCTCCTCCTCCTCCTGGTAGTCCTCCCCCTCCCCTCCTCCTCCTCCTCCTCCTCCTCCTCCTCTTCCTGGTCGTCCTCGTTCTCGTCCTCCTCGTCTTGCTCGTCCTCCTCCTCCTGGTGTTCTCTCCTCCTCCTCCTCCTCCTCCTCCTCCTCCTCCTCCTCCTCCTCCTCCTCCTCCTCCTCCTCCTCCTCCTCCTCCTCCTCCCCCCCCTCCTCCTCCTCGTCCTCCTCCTCCTCCTCCTCCTCCTCCTCCTCCTCCTCCTCCTCCTCCTCCTCCTCCTCCTCCTCCTCCTCCTCCTCCTCCTCCTGGTCCTCCTCCCTCCCCTCCCCTCCTCCTCCTCCTCCTCTTCCTGGTCGTCCTCCTCCTCCTGGTCGTCCTCCTCCTCCTGCTCGTCCTCCTCCTCCTCCTGCTCGTCCTTCTTCTCCTGCTCCTCCTGCTCCTCGTCCTGCTCCTGCTCGTCCTCGTCCTCCTGGTCTTGCTCGTCCTCCTCCTCGTCGTGCTCTTGCCCGTGCTGAAAATGTGGCCCAGGAATGGGAGTTCTGGGAAGTCGAAGAGAACGAAGTTGCCTACAGTTGGCTACGGGCATTCAAAATGTGGCCCGGGAATGGAGTTCTGGGAACTCGAAGAGCACGAAGTGGCCTACAGTTGGCTCCGGGCATTCAAAATGTGGCCCGGGAATGGAGTTCTGGGAACTCGAAGAGCACGAAGTGGCCTACAGTTGGCTCCGGGCATCAAAATGTGGCCCGGGAATGGAGTTCTGGGAACTCGAAGAGCACGAAGTGGCCTACAGTTGGCTCCGGGCATCCAAAATGTGGCCCGGGAATGGAGTTCTGGGAAGTCGAAGAGCACGAAGTGGCCTACAGTTGGCTCCGGGCATCCAAAATGTGGCCCGGGAATGGAGTTCTGGGAAATCGAAGAGCACGAAGTGGCCTACAGTTGGCTCCGGGCATCCAGAATGTGGCCCGGGAATGGAGTTCTGGGAAATGGAAGAGCACGAAGTGGCCTACAGTTGCATCCGGCCCCCCAGAATGTGGCCTGGGAATGGAGTTCTGGGAAGGCGAAGAGCACGAAGTGTGTGACTGTTGGTGAAAAACGAGCCCGGCTCACTGCCGCCCGGCAACTCCCAACACCTGCCCGGACCCCCCTGTGGAGTGATCTGCTGCTCTCTTTTGATCCCACTAGAAACCTATCAGTCTTCGCTGTTAGGTAAATAGAATGGGGACAATGTTATGCGTATGTGTTGGATATGTCCTGGTATCTTTAGGGTATGGTTAATTCTTCGTCCAAAATCCCCTTGTAGGGGACACGCCCGGCCTAATTCTATGTCTATCTTCCAACGCCCTGTGGGAGAGCCCAGGCCTCTGAAGTCGCTGACCTATCGTGGCCCCCATCGGGGGTGTGTAGCGCTGCTTCATGTATTCTGCCGCGAGGGTGTCAGATGTCACCGGTGTGTGTTGTTGGGAACAGCTCTTGAGTATTGCAAGTGGTGTGCGTGATTGGAGTATTTTCGTGATTAGCGCTGTTGCTGTTTGTGTCAGCTGCCGTATAATATTGGTGTCGGTTCTGGGTGTCTGTTATTATTATCATTCCCGTCGTGCGCGTTTGGTGCGTGCTCTCGGGGTCGTGCTCTCGGGGTATGTTTCTGAGTGTGTTCATAGCGTCAGATTTCAAAGCGAGATGCGAGGAGGGAGCTAGAGGTGGCTGCACCGCTCCGCGGCTGCCCCGTCTCACGATCCGAGGCCCCACGGGCTTTCTGGTACGTGCGCTAGCGCATGGACCAGCCCACGTCGCAGCGCAGGAGGCGGTGCGGGGGTTTTCGGCCGGAGCCGCGGATTGGGAGGTGGTCTGGGGCTCGCAGTGCACTGCCTGCCCAGCGAGCACGCAGTGTCCCGCGTGCTCGTGCAACTGCGAGCCGCGGCTCGCGTGCCCTGTCGGTTCGGTCACCGTGACTCGCCTCTGGGGAGCTGCCCCTGTGGTGGCGGAGCTTGCCTGGCTGGGCAACGGCGCCATCGTTGGCGTTGGCGCGGCGGCCTGCGCACGGCGCCGGGCCTCCAGGCTGGCCGCTCCGAGGCTGGAGGCTCCAGGCTTCAGCCTCTCGCCAGCCGCCTTGCCAGCGTCAGCCCCCGCGGAGCTCGCCGTCGCGCGCCAGGAAGCCGCAGTTGACGCAGTAGCGGGATGGCGGCGGCAGTGCCAGCGCTGTTCGCCTACGGGTTGCAAGAGGGTGACTCCATGTTGCTCGAGTACGCGGCCATGCTGGCACCCTACACGAGCGACTAATCATGCTCGCGCCCGCTAGGGCAGCTATGGTGCGCACGCTCACTCACGCCGGACGACGGCAGCTACGGGGAGGTCCCCTTCGACGTGGTGGACGTGCTTGCGGTGGCTGCCGTGCGACGGCAGCCGCATGGGTTCCTACCCCGCCGCGGCCGCAAGCGCCCGCGTGCACGGCTTCTGGGCCGTGACCTCGCCGGTGAGGATCGGCAATGTGCTGACAGCAGCCGCCGCGCGCTTCGGCGTGGCGCTGGCGCCCGGGACCACCGTGGTGCCCAACTTCGTCGTTGCTGGCCGCCCCGCCATCGTGCTGACCGTGGCTGCGCCCGCGCCGGTCTCCTGGCGCCCGCCGCAGGTCCTGCGATCGCGGGGGCTGGCGCGGACAGTGGCATCGCCAGTGGGGTCGCTGGCCTGGCCGCAGCAGCCTCCCGCGGCTTGGGCGGCCGCCTCAGCGGCGCCCGCCCCCCGAGCCATAATCGGGGCCCCGCCCATGGCCGCGCCCGCCGCAGGTGTTGTTGCT